CTTATGACTTTTTGTTTATTTAAGAGACCCAAACTTCTGAAATTGGTGTTTCCGAGTTTCATTAAATGAAAGAAGTGAAAGGAAATAGAATGATCACTTTCCCTCCTAATTTTCCTTCCGATTTGGAAGGATTCGTAGAGAAAAAACAAAATGTTTACTTTTTCCTTGCACTTCTCTCCAAGTAGGAACATAAAAGAGAAATTTTTTTCCTTTTCTTTCTCTTTTTTTTTCTCTGCTTACTTTATTTTCTCTTGTTTTCTTTTCTCTGCTGCAACTTAGGAACTAGGCGGAAGCGGAAGAGAAATTTGGAGTTGGATTGACATTAATGAACCAGATTACCATCGTAAGTTTATTCAATTCTTGAGCTTTAAATTTTAAATTTTTGATTGCTATGGCATGTGGAAGTTGACTGCATGTTGAAGATGGGATGTTGCATAAGTAACAAGTGAAGAAGATATGCCAACTATTGGGCATGACTTTCCAACAAATAAGCTTTTGGTTCATCTACAATAACTTGGCATCTAAAGACAAAGAATGTTATGAGCTTCATAGAAAATGTTCTTTTTGTTCTTTTTTGCTTGTTAAATGTCGTCTTTTTATGAATAGAGTAATAGGGAAAAGAGGGTATTTATTTTATCTAAATTTTGGTGTTTTTTCTATTTAGGATAGATTAAATTTGCGACTCGAAAGTTTATTTTTAACTTTTTCTGCAGTTGAATCTGCCATTGAAGCCTTCTTGCTTTACATGTTCTTAGCCAACGATCGTTGAAGGCTCAAAAATTTCATTTATAGACCAACAAAGTAATCTTTTGTGGTTTTTACCTAATATGTTTATTTTTAGTGTATCGTCTCTCTTTATATAGTCTTTTCATATGCCATTGTTCTTTAAGTAACAAGTTTTAGTGTTATTTGAAACTAAATTTTTAAAGTAATTTAAACAAGTGAAACAAGATCAGGAATCTGTAGGAGAAGACCTTTAATTTTTAAAAGTAATTTATATAGTGCTCTTTAAAAGTAATCTTTTCATCTACTCGTAGCCTCACAGGAGTTGGACCTTCAAGCTTATTGCCTACAAAATTTGTATTGGGTCAAGGTTTATCATTTCATATATCTAACTCTACTTAATTCGTTTAATTTTTTCTAAATAGAAAGATCTTACTTTTGAAATGGACAAGCACATTCATAAAATGCATTATTTTTCGGCTCCATTTCACTATTTTCAAGGTATAAAAATGAAATGGTGTCATGTTATTGCATTACAGTGAAAAACCAACAAACTATGATGAAATTGTTGACACAGAAGTTGGTTATTTCTGTTATTTCCCCTTAAGGTTGGATGGTTATTCCTCTCTTTTACTTTCTTTCACGTACATTGCCTAAAAGTTTTAATAATTTCTATCTATAATCATATTTGCATTATGGTACTGGAAATGAACTTTCCACTTTTTTTTTCTTCCCAAACCCAAATAATTTAAAATGGAGGTTAGATTAAAATTATATACAATATGTTATAACTCAATCGTCCTTCTAAGTTACAACTTCGGTTTTCCAACTTAGCCACCATGATCTTCCAATTCAAATATAAATTATGAGCATTTCAAAATTCTTAAAAACACAAATTTCAATTCTTAATCTGGGTGACCAACTGTAGCTGACTTCCTAAAAAACCATAAAACTCATGATAATGTGATTTGGTTAATTTATGGGCGGTTTTATTGACGCAAATAAGCATTTCCCACCCTAATTTTCATATGTGACTTAGATATGGAGTACGGGTATTAACGTTTTGCAATTATAAGTTTATGTTTATATTGACTTTGGTATATATTATAAGTTTATATTTATATTGACTTTGGTATATACAAATGATAACAAAAACAAAAATAATAACATAAACAACCTAACATGTACGTGAAAATTAAGAGATCAATAATAAGACATTCAAAAATAAAACAAAATATATGTGGAAAAACTCTTAACCAAATAAAAGAAATAAATATAAATTTTCTTTCTTTACGCTAAATACTCATTAACTAAAATCATATACTATGTATTTATTGTGACTACTATAGAAATTAGGTCATTGTTAAACAAACAATATTGAATTAATCACTGTTGTAATAGACTTAATGTGTAATGATCATATTATTTTTTTTGTTTATAGGATATTATACTTTGAAATACATCCAAAATATCAATCAAATCTTGGATTGATATTGGATTGATATGAATATCTGATAAGCAGACCATTTTAGTATACATAAGGAATGGGTTAATGAATATGATTAATATATATATGACATTATTATGGGGTATCAATAGGTTCATCACTTAGTCCTTGGAAATAAGAAAATTTGGATATAAAAAACATCGAAACTGGAGTTCATATACAAAAGATACGACTGTTTTAAGAAAACGAACAACCAGGTAACAGCTCACCGCCTTTTAGGTGTCAAAACACGATCTTCAAAAGAATTAACAGGCATATTAGGAGTTGAATTTTTATTTCCAGACAATTTTTCCATGAGTCTCATTCAGTTTAGAAAATTATCATGTTCCTAACTGTTTATGCACGAAAATACCCCGAGTTATTGTGGATACTACTACAAAAAGCGTCATAAGACTCGCCAATTAGGACTCGGTTTTGGGAAAAACCGGGATATATTATGGAAAAAACGGGTTCTATAAGAGAGATTATAATATGGCCCGGTTTAAATTAAGAACCGGGACATACACTAAAATTAAATAAGCCGGTTTTGATTCACTGAACCGTGTCTTATAACCATACAATTATATGACCCGTTTTTAAAATAGAATCCGGCCTTATTCTCTTGGTAAAGTTTACTTTTTGATTTGCCTGACATAATTCTTGGTAAAGTTTTTGGATATCCCGCCATAGAAATTGTATAACCCGCCACAAATTTTAGGCAAAATCAAAACCCAAACATGTTTTTCTTCTTCACCGCAACAACCAACCGGCAATTTGAGTAGCTACCACACCGTTTCATCAGATTGTGCCTTAACAGACGATTCCTCATCGACCTGACTACGATTCTTGTGCCTAAAACCCTTATCTTTTCCTCGATTTTCCCTATCCCCTACCTCATATCAGGAGGTCGCCAAATCATTGCTAGGGCAGCATTACTCGTATAAGCGACTCTACATCTTTACTGGTCTTGTTTTGGCCACTGCTAAACATCTTCTACTCTTGAGATTTGTAAGTTTTATATGTTGATATTTGATTTCTGAAAATCTTAATGAAGAGGTTTCATTGAGGTTTTGTAAATTCATGGATCTATATATGCACGAATCATGTACTAATGTTTATTTAAAGGAGAATACCTAAGAACAAGAAACTCAAAATAGGAAACTTGAAGGATTTTTTTTTAGAAATTTGTGGATGTATGTATGTATAGATTCATGAAAATACTTCAATTATTTGCTCTTATCTGCTATTTTTTGACAGTTCTGCACAAAAAAAAATGCATGCCTTTTTTATCAATCAAACGACCAAGTAAGCATTGTGATATCATGTTGAATTGTTTTTGCAATCTGTTCAGGTAGGTGGTTGAGCCATTTGCAAATCATCTACAATAAAGATGATGAATGATCAGCCACAACAACAACCAGTACCACAACCACAACCACAACCTAGGAAAAAAGAACAACCACACGTCTAATGGATATAACAGAGCCACAAGAAATTGAATTTAACAGTCTTGGTCAGCATTGTGGCGATAAACAAAATAAGTTCGCGAATGACTGTGGCGTTGTTACGAGAAAGTTAATTTCTATCAAATATCAAACTTGGAAGAAAGTGTCAGCAAATGAAAAAGAGAACTTATGGTCGACCATCAAGGTTTGTTATCTAATACACATTACATGTGCTTTTGGGTTTTGGTCTCTGATTGTATGGTTTTGTTTCTTTAGCTTGTTGCTGGTGATGATTTTAAGATCAAAAAACAATATAGTCAAGCTCATAATTCTACAACTTGATGTAGATCATCTTCTAGGAATAACAGTAAAGTGCTCGTGGTGGTTGAGCCTCTATTCAGTCATAAGTCATGACCTGGTACAGTTAATTGAAACCACAGTTAATTGAAGTAATCCTAAAATCTTATAAAAATTGACTATTTTGCCCCTGTTGCTCTGTGTGGTTGTTTTATCTCTTCACAAATGTTATACTGTTGTATTGAGACTCTAAATGCACCCTTGGAGTATGAATTTCATTGGTGATTGTTAATTAATTTTATTATTTAATAGTTGCTATTAAGTATATGACAGTCAAGTTAATTGATTTTGCCAAAATGTATTTATAACTTCTTATTATGTTTGATTGTTTGTTAATTATTAAAAAGTTATGTTACACAGAGGACATCAAAATGAAGAAACAATGAACTCTTATCGACTCCTAAAAAGAAAACATTTTTTTAATGTATCAGAGTAGCCACAGATGAATGTTTATATACTTTGGTTTTATATTTTTATTTGGCCCATCCTGTCAAATGTTTGTGTTCCGCCCCTGGATGTCAGGACAAATTTAAAGCCTTGTTTTTGGATGCTTCAGGTGGATTTTGGGTGATTTTGACATTTTTACCCGCAACATAACTAATTCAAATATAAGTTTAATATTTCATTTAGGAAGGTTAATTTAGTAACATCTTATATAATTTTGAATTTAGATAAGTTTTTTAATATTATATTACATTAATTTTAACTAAAAAACAAATTTTGATATATATGTAAATAATAAAGTTTTAGAATGACATATACGTAATTTTTAAATTTATAAGGATATTAACGTAATATTTAAAATTTAGAAGGATGTGGATGATTTCCCTAATTAATATATGTTACTAATAGTTATTCTTTTTCTAAAAAAAACAAAAAACAGAAACGTTGGAATATCCATGACGAAAACCGCAAAGCATATATGCTTATGACTTGCAACCACAAGTTGAGATTATAAAAGAAGAGGCTTAAAAAGAATTTCTTGGCCAATGAGAATGAGAGAAATCCACTTGAAACCTACTCATATCTGGAGAAGACTGCATTGTAAAAGTTTAAGGAAAGGATGTCATCAAAGGAATTCCAGGTTTGTAAGATATAATGTCTCTTGATAATATTAATCATTATGTTGCAGTTTTATAATTGTGGTTGAGTTCAATGTGTAATAGGAATCCAGCCCAAGTAGGCCCACATGGTTATCGGGGCAACAAACCTAAGTAGGAACAAGAGAAGGCATCGGGTGAGCTGTCGTCGCAATTGTATGAGATAAAAAGAGAGCGTTCATTAGATTATGTTTTGGGGAGAAGATCTAAAAACGAGTCAGGGTCAAAAATAATACCACCTAACATGGAACCCATAGTAAAAAAGCTTGTAAGATTGTTCTTAATTTTTTTTTTAAGATTTATTTTTATTTTTATTATTATTTTTTCTTTTTTGTGTAAGTAATTATATTGAGTTTTATGTTGTTTGCATTAACAGATAGATGTCCAAAAAGAAATATCCAAAGGTGATTTGTTGTCGGGTCCTGGAGAGGATTTGTTGACTATGGCGATAGGACCGGAGCACCCTCGTCGTACTAGGGCGGTGGGGCATGATATTGGCTTAAGAAAGGGGATGCAATGACTTGACAAAAAAAGAGGAAAGTCGTGGACAAAGAAGTTGTCAGTAAGATACAGGTGCAGTTAGATGAAGTTGTGACTTGTGACCCAATTGGCAGAGTTAAGAACAATGTTTGCGATGCAAGAGTCTAGGAACCAAGTCCCGAATAATGTATGCTTGGTGTTCAAAACAATAGTTCTGGCTCAACGTCGACTTTGGATGCTTTAGATACGATAAAGGTAATTCTTTATTATAGCATCAACCTTTAACAACTAATAAAATCCACAACTCAATGAGTCGGTTTATTTATTTTTATCACTAATTCTAGTTGATTATATAAATTTATTATAATTATGTGGTAGAAGTTGGGAAAAGAGTAATAAAATTCACTTGTTTCTTGTTTCGGGCAAAACAGAGTATGAAAATAGATACACAATTGAGTTAGAGTTGATGACTAATAGTGTTCTATAATGTCCAAGTGTTTCAAAAAAGCTACAAAATATTCCCCTGTATGTGTTATGTATGTGCTATACAGAGCAAACAATATAACTAGATAAATAGAACTTGAGTAAAATTAAAGAATGGTCCTTATGTTACAACAATTACATAACTGGTCCTTGTATGTTTTTTCTACATAAATGGTCCATGTAATTTATCTTATTACTTATCCACTAGTTAGAAGTTGTTTCGTTTTTTATTTATATTTACCTTCTATCACAATTTTAGTGCAACCAAGTCGGTGTATTGGAACGTGAGCTGAGTGGGCATTATGTAATGAATTGGATCTTTGATTTTGTGTTGAACAGACAACATGGATTTCCGAGTAGAGTAAGTACTTAAAAAAATCTTTTCTTCTAAAGCAAGAAACAAATTGTTTTGTTATTTAGTAGTTTTAATTTTATTTTCATATAGGTTGGTACCCTTTGGAATGAGAAAACTGCATTTGAGGAAAAGGCGTTGGTTACAACTATTGCTACATGGGCCAGAGAATTTCTAAAAAAATTTATGAATGATGGGGTCGTCTAAAAGTGCATATAAGGTTAGTTGTTAATCTTTATAACATCCTACTTTTAGTTTAATGATTGTTTGATAAATTCAACTTTTTTAAAATGCTAGACAAAAAACTAATTATTTGTTGTGTTTTGTTTTTCAGTGAGGATGAAGGAAAAACTGTTGTGTTTTGTTTTTAAGTGAGATTGAAGGATAGTTGCAACACTTTATTATTGGACAATACCTCTCCATGGAAAAACAATTCATTTTTTGAATTTATTTATGTAAGTTTTATGTAATATGAAATGACCAAATCTAGGAGTTTTTAGCAGCACTTAAACATGTTTTTATCGATGACTATAATGATTGGTTATTTAGCAAGTTTATATTAATATAATTTGTTCATCAATGAATAATTTTTGTTTTGTTTTGAATGTGTGCTTTGGATGCAAGTTTCAGTTTGTGCTTTTTATCAACTATTTTCTTTCTATTATGGTTAATTTAATAAAGTTACCAATTCTTATAACCATGCTGTTTGGTACTGTGATTATAGTTGTTTTGGCAACTTTGGAAAAGACCCGGTTATTTATTTGAATGAAACCGGTCCATATTTAATCTTTATATGACCCAGTTTGGGGATTGGAACCGGGCTCTTTTAGCGATATATGACCCGGTTTTGTATGGTCGGATTAGATATCTAGCTTTAATCCTAGCCATTGGATTGAAATTAATATGGACCATCGTATCAACACTTGGAAAACTATATAAAAGGGGAGGGATCCTTATTTTCTTGCATCTCTCTCTTCTCTCTCTCGATTGTCGTCAGCCAGAACCATTCTCGCCGCCTAGCTCTGTCGGTAGGAACCACTGTCGGCCGCCTAGCGCCACCACACGAGAGAATCATAATCGAATGTAGAAACCTTCATGTGCCACCCTTTTTTTCCGACCAAGCACCGAAAAAAGCTCTGAGTATCCTCCCTCCGCCAATCGCCAACACGCACCGCCATCTACCACCGACGATTTTTCCTAGAAAACACTATTCACCGACGATTTTTCCAATGAACTTGTTCAATATATATGCCCAAGAATCATTATTTAGAGATATTGGTAATTATATATGATCCTATAGGGTCACACCTTTATCAAATTGACACATTTTGTATATTTATTATCAATATGATTATTAATCAATAATGTCGCACACCCGGCCGTCGGCGGAAACGCCGAGGTGCGCGACGTAAATCAGTAATCACAGTTATTAAACATACATTGAACAGTACAAATATAATCTTCTATATCAAAATAGAAATTACATTGATAATGACTGTTTCTAAAACGAGACACATGACTAACAATGTAAAAATTGGTAATTTAAGGTCGAAATACGTCGACCAAACCACCTCAATAAAATTGTTATATTATGAACAAAGGAATGAAATGGTGAAATAATAAAAATATATGTGGGGCATTTTAAATCTATAACCACTTGTCAAATGCCTCAACTCATTAAAATCTTGTTTAACAATAGAAAATTTTTATTTTTACAAGTATCGTCACATGCCACCTAAAACAAGAATTTGTTTTGAACAAGTTAAACATCACTAAATGGGACACTACTAACCACTTGTTTCATCAAATTACCTTCATTAGTTGGAATGACATATTTTTACTTAACCAACCTAAAACCATACATATAATAATAGCTATACTTGCGTACACCACCTAGGAAACCCCATATCTCAATTTTCATAAAATAGAAAACAATAATATAATACAATACGAGAAATCATGATGAAAAATAGTGGTTGTACCTCAAAGCCTATTTCTCTACATCGAACATCTCTCAATTGTCACAACCAGTGTATTGAGTATCATGATTATATAAGAACAAATGGCCATAACTTCAATTGGCTAAAACACACGTTTCTTTTACAAGGTCTACAATTGAAAAGAATTTTTGCATGCAACTTGTACAACATAAACTATTCCATCTTCTTTTTATGATTTTGAGGTGGAAGTTGGAGACCAATAACCCGTTTGTTGATTGCCCAAAACAGCCCGAACTATTCCTTAGTATCGGTTTTTACAGGTGACACAAGAAGCCTTCCTAAAAACGAACAAGTCTTGAGTTTTAGATCACGCAACAAAGGTGAGTCTTTATAACCCCTTTCTTTGAGTTTTACAAATTTTGGGGGGAGATACACACACATTTTGCATGCTAGATAAGAAAGTATAATACCATCATATGTCATACTCTTAACATTTTCTCTAACGGGTTACTACCCAACATCATATCTATATTAAAACAGTCATGAAATGAGTATACGAAAATAAGTCATGCATGATAAACTAGCCTCCTTTGTTGTTCATGTAGCGTTAAAACAATTATATGTATCTTTGTGACATAAGTCCATGCAGGTATTTTTGGTTGATATGTAACCATTAGTGTTAGAATGGTCATCAATGAAATAAATCAAGAAAAGTATAGACTTAGGACATACTTTATTAATATATTTACAAGCAAGGTCTAAAGTGTAAATATAATATGAGATAATTAGACTTATAGATACATAAGTCTTTCATTGGATTTATGCTATAAAAATATGATTATTTTTATAAAAAATTGTTATTTTATATAAAAATGGAGTTTACAAAAAAGCTCTTGTAACATTTTATAAAAATAAGTAGTTTTTATAAAATATGATAATTTTTAAACAAAATTGTTATTTTATATAAAAATGGAGTTTATAAAAAGACCTTGTAACATTTTATAAAAATAAGTAGTTTTTATAAAATATGATTATTTTTATGTAAAATTGTATTTTATATAAAAATGGAGTTTATAAAAAGACCTTGTAACATTTTATAAAAATAAGTAGTTTTTATAAAATATGATTATTTTTATATAAATATGATATTTTATATAAAACTGGAGTTCACAAAAAGACCTTGTAACATTTTATAAAAGTAAGTAGTTTTTATAAAATATGATTATTTTTATATAAAAATTTTATTTTATATAAAAATGGAGTTTATAAAAAGATCTTGTAACATTTTATAAAATAAGTAGTTTTAATAAAATATGATTATTTTTATATAGAATTGATATTTTATATAAAAATGGAGTTTATAAAAAGATCTTGTAACATTTTATAAAATAAGTAGTTTTTATAAAGTATGATCATATTTATATAAAAATGATATTTTATAAAAATGGAGTTTATAAGGAGATCTTCTAGTATTTTATAAAATGAGTAATTTTATAGAATATGATTGTTTATATAAAATAGATATTTTATATAAAAAGAAAACTTAAAAAGGTTATTAATGCTTCAAGAAAATAAAGAATTGAAGTAATATTTGTATGTCTGCAATGATATATACATATATATTTACATACTCTTAGAAGTATATGTATAATAGTGTATGTACAACTATATATCTGAATGTGACAACAAATAAATGCCAACATTTATAAGGCTCGGAATACAAATGACGACAAAAATCCTAGACTTAACAATTTAAGGATATTCTGTATGAGAAACACTTCATCGCTAGGAACTCAAAACCTTAGTATAAAGCCCTCTGTGCTATAACCGTTAATCTGAAAGGAACGTGGAACATTGGTATAGATCTCTACGGGTTGACAGCCACTGCTGCGGTTATTAGCTACAACTATCGTCTGACGAGTCAAAAAGGGCGTAGTCGTTCAGTCACTTATATATTTCACGACGTCAATGAAGCGTTGTGATTGTCACAGTACACCTGCTCACGGTACTGCTTTTACAGATGCTTGCGCGTCCATAGTTCGTTATAGCCTCATATTAGAACTCATAAATTTTAATCTATTTGTTTTATCGTTAAAAAGGAACTTTTGAACAAAATGGATAAGTGTTGAAAACATTTAATCTATATAATTCATATTTATAACATTTTCAACACGATACTCACGACTCATGATTTCTTGGTTATAAACAATGAACCAAACTATTTTACTTGTATGGGATTACAAGTGCAGACTAAATACATATTTATAATCTTCAAAGGTCACAAATGTATTTTCGATTATAAACCATTGGAGTCTAAACCTATAAATCTCACCAACATTTTTGTTGACGTATTTTTAAACGTATGTATCTTCAGGATCTTAAAAGTTGGATGAATGCCTACAAGTTAAGGAGGATATTTCTCCTTAAATAAACTATTAACCGAGTAACCGGTCCTCTTGATATATGCTTTATAGAACCTGGATTATTTGTTAGTCATCGTTTGAGATTTATTAAACAATGTATTTCTTCTTTTTCATACTTCGGAAGAATGTAATGTTATTTGAACATGTAATATTCGATGTATGTTGTTAACTATGAACCAACGTTTCACGTTGCAACCCAGATGATTCCGCCATCGGTCAGGGTGTGATAGATTGGTATCAGAGCTAAACGACTGTAGCAAATAGTACTTTCCTTAGGAGAGCACAACTATAGTCTAAGGGATTACTCTTGTAGCTCTAGTTATTCTTAAACCTAAAATCCTTAGATCTATCCTCGTATATTTATAACACTTAATAATTAGTTTCTTAATGATAAATACCATATTCTTGGATTTATTCCAATAAATCTATAAATAATTAGTGTTATTAATTATACCTCCTAAAGTAAACAAAGGGTAATTTATAACACACACACAAATACAAGATATAAAGTCATACAAAAACTCAATTCCTCAATGAGAAAACACTAATCCAAGATAAGAAAAATACAAGGAATTAAAAATTAAATATTCAACAAGGTTCCTTAGTACATGCGTTGTACCACAACTAAACCTAGTTGTGCACCTAAGTTTTATTATTGTCAGATTTATGCACTACCTAACCTAAGCGAAATGGTTGATTTGTTAGAAGTCTTGTAAGAATCTTGGTTAAAAATTTCTTTAAAAACAAATACTAATAAAACCTTAAATCTCAATATAGGATGAAATCACAAGAACAGGAGAAAAGCAAAGAAGAGGTTAATTCGCATGTGCCATTGGTAGGAGAT